GGCTGGATCTTCTCTGGTGTACTATATCCCTTTATTTCGGCCAATTTCTACTATTTTTCCAGCGATCCGCGGAGCCTGGTAGAGGCTAACCTACATGTACATCTACGTCACAAGCATTCAGAGGCACCAGTAATTCTTCTTTAATCCTCTTAAGTGGTTTGATGTATTAATTAGGTGTGAAGGACTGCCATACGGTTAGCGCATTGGTCACATGATCTAGCAATACGGCTTCGTGCAAAAGCAAAACAAAGTAGAGCTGGAAGATTATTTTCTGTGGCATTCAATAGACCAGTAGATTCAGTTTACATGAGTTTTGGATGGAATGTTATACAACGTAATAGTCAGAAATGCTGAATACGTCAATGGTCCGTTACGCATCACCATCATGTCAGCGACAGAATCCAAAATCAATACTGCCATTTCCCATTTACAATGGACATAAACCCAGGAGGAACGATTATTATTGAATATGGTCCCCCTATACTACTTAGATAGTTATACATCAGGATTTTCAGGCATGAAAACATGATTTTATCTTCAACCATTTGCAATTGCTTTTCCTAATAAATTGTTATGACTTTTTTGGTAAATATATATATCTTGTTTTTGGCAACATATTGGCAATTTCTTCAGCAGCTTTATTGGCATATTGATAAAAACATAATGCTAGTTTACTGAAATTCCTTTCGAGCTTGTTATAATGTTAATCAATTCTGCATTACTACAAGTACATTGATTTGATATGGATATACTGTATGCTGCTAGTGTTCAAACTGAAGTAAATTTTCATGAAATGACTTTTTGTCACTGATCATTTACAACAGTGAATGACGTACAATTTTCAATCAGAAATCTAATTTAAAAGGTTAAAAGAAATGTCCAATACATATGTATCAGATCACCCAAATCACAACATTTGACACGCTGGGAAACATTGGTACAGAAAGTGCCCTTGTTCTGGTGGGGTCAGTGAGTCCCATAACTTATTTTCCTTTCCGCAAATGAGAAAAATAACACCCTAGCAAAACACAGAGACTAAAATAACAGGGAGGGCATTCCAAACTGGACATTATCCTGACCACTGCACTATTCCGGACATGTCCACTTGTCAACAACTGGGTCGCCCCCAATTAACTGATCAGTTCTGCACTGGGAACCAATTAGACTGACATGAACCATTCCTGACACAAAGTAAAACATTGGCTTGAAAGAAAACTAGGGGATGTTGACGACAGTTTTTCTTTTAGAATAACAATGACCCAATGACCCCCTCCCTACCTGTACTTTTTATAGACATAACAGACCCATGTTATCTAAAATCACCCCCACCCATAACCTTTTTTATGCAAACTACTGCTACTCCTATTACTAGTTATATTACCTCCTCAATTTTTAAGACCCCTTTACTACTAATATGGCAGCTGTGAAAAAAGTATGTATCTTATCTTTAGTTACCAGCTTTTCAATGAAAACATATGGATGACAAGTATTCAATATAAGCCACATAACAATGTTGATCTTTCATTACAAGGATATCGAATCTGCTCATATTACTAATTATTAGAAATACAAGTATTTCACTTTATAGCAAATGCATTATGGAAGAGTATTATAAAATAAATCTTAATTTCTGGTGTAATACATTTTTTTTGCATACATAGATGCATTATCATGTACACCTTCCAAAGTTTGATTGAGATGTTTTGAGATGTCCCTAGTACAGTCGGGGCTGTCAAGTCATTTACATAGGTATAAAAATCACAGATAAAATGAATAAAATATGAAAATCACTCTCACTTTGGCTGGGGGCATTCTAATCCCAGTGAAATTGAGGATTTTATCTCTGATTTATATGCTTAATGGGCCGAGTACTGCGTGACTCCAACAATGTCGCAAATCTCTTAATTTTCATCTTCCATATGACAGCTATACCAAGGGGATTCCAAGCTAACCTAACTTGTCGATCACTAACTACTGTGAGTGTGAGTCTAAGAAATCCTACCTCTGGTATTTCCAACCATAATCCTACCAGCTACAGGTATGCAACTCACATGCCAATGCTCATGCCATGGAGAGGGAAATAACTTCTTGGACAGTCTAAAACCCCATACATGTACCTGTTTAATATGCTTAGAGGCAGGCCTGAAAGGGTACTTTGTTGACCATGTAGGAGGATTACTCATGCTGGAATTTGCAAGGGGCCATTCAAGGTAGAAAGTTTGTTAAGATCGCATTACTGGCCACTTCCGGACACAGTCATTGCAGTTAATTCCTGATTTCTGGCACTCCACAGGTCTTTGAACAAATACTGCATCCTTCTAACGTGAGGAAAATACTTGAATAGGATATATAGGAAACGTCCACACCCACTGACACTGTCTGAATCCGAGAGAATGAGGACCAGATGAAAATACAAATTATGATGAGGAGAAAATCAAGAACGAGAACTACTTACAGTTCTTCTCGTTGTCTCTGTGACAGCACCATTTTCCGTCACGGAAGCGTTCCGTAGATGTCGGGAAAAATACCGGGCCGGGTTTTCCTTCCCCGATTCTGTTTTACTTCAAGACGATCTGTGACAAACTTCTTGATACAGCTGGGCGGTGGTCGAACGTCTGACCCAACACTTTAGGTCATCCTGCGGAATATAAAGGGCAAAGATCGGATGTCAGGTGGCCGTCCCCTATCTATGACAGCTTTGGTAAACGCGAACCAGCAATTATTTCCACGAAATTGTGAAGCATTGTGCAGTCTAGCAAATTTTCTGTCAGTTCAATCAAACAGAAGCCCGCCTGTGCCAAAGTTCAACATGATGTGATCTGACAAAAATTACACCGAGCCGCCCTAAAATTCCAACAGTCGGCCGGGATTTAACGTACCGGCTTGGCCTTCAAATCACCGGCTAACCACCGAACTGTCCGTTCAGAACGACGCAATGACACTGAGATACGTTAACGTCAAGTTATGTTAAGGAATCAATACGAAATGTCACAAAAATCGCGATGAAATTTTGAACGATGCAACAAAAATTCTGCAGAATCTGTTGCAACCGGCAGCCATCTTGACAGCTTGTCGGGTCAAATTCCCTCCTTTCAAAACGGATTTTAGGACGACAAAAACACACAAACGTCGATCCTTACCTAAGGAAGATTAAAAATCCTCGAAGAAACCGAACCCGTGCCTTAAGACGGTGAATCCGTGGCGAGTTTTCCTCAAATATCTGAATTTTCCACACGTTAAAAATCCGTCCAACAGCTCTCACCAAACCACTGCGCATGCAGATCTGCGCAGGTTCGTTAGTGCGCAGACTCAGTAGGGTGACATCATTCCCAGGATGCAGCGCGCCTAACGTCAGGACCATGTTGTCAACTTCCTCACATTTTGCAACTTTTTGATAAATTTGCAGTTTTTCGGTCACCAGGAGCTAGATTTGGAAATACCCATACTTAATAGAGACTATTCTGATTCGGAGACTGTATTTATTTACAATTCGAACCACATTTTTGTACTCTTTTTGTCTTCATCATCCTCTTTCAGAGCTCAGCTCAGCATCTTGGTACTTGTTTACCTCATCAAGAATGTCATATTGACATTAGAATTTAGGGGACGGGCTTGTTTACAAGATGGCTCTCAACAAATATATGCATCCGAGGAATAAGTACAAAAACAATCCCCCCGATTTTGCAACCCTGGCTAAGAAGTACCCCGATTTCGCCCAGTATGTGACGTACAACAAGTCCGAGACGCGAGGCTTCATAAACTTCAAGGACCCGGAGGCCATGAGATGTCTGACATGCACCCTTCTGAAGGAGGACTTTGGGTTGGAAGTGGAGATCCCAAACGATAGGTTAATCCCGACTCTGCCACTGCGCCTGAACTACATCCATTGGATCGAAGACCTGCTACAGGGGATGGGCGAGGGGACGAAGGGAGCAGGGGATTCTGGGAAGGTTACGGGTATCGACATAGGTATGTTGATTGCAGCAGGGTGGACAAACAATGCACTCTCTGGTAAAAGTGGCTCAATGTGGGTGTATTTGCTATGTACAGCTCAAATGCGGTGTTTTGAATTTGTGATGTCAAACTCAAAATTGCAAGAAACAAGGTGTGGGCTACAAAAATTTGGTAAAGGTACCTTTAATTTATCACCAAGATCAGGTTGGTACGTAGAACGTAGGTTATTGTAGTTTTCTTTGACATGTAACCAGCATTGTCTCACCTGCTTACATTTTGATGTCTATCATAGGCTCAAATGAAGTCCATGATTCCTCTTCAAATTTTATATTTATCATCATATAGTTAGTATGTACAAACGAAGCCTGGCCAAGAAATGGACAAATTTGTGTATATTGCACACATGTAGGTGCTGGTGCCTGCTGTATCTACCCCTTGCTGGGCTGTACGCTGAACGGGTGGAACTTCCTGGCCACAGAGGTGGACCCTACATCCTACACCTATGCTGTCAACAATGTCAGCAGGAACAGCAAACAGGACAACATCACAGGTAGGATTTTGGTACATGGTAGCTGTGACTAATATGTAATAATGAATAAATGAATGAATGAAAGAAATACCTGTATTGTGTACAAATGTATGTTTATGCTAAGTATTTAGTTGTGCGCTCACTTACTTTAACAGCTGATGCTTACTGCTATTTATAAACCCATAATCAAAAAGCCAAACAGCTTATCAAGTGTGCTAAAAGTTTAAAGGATATTATAATCGTTTAATTAGTACAGTTACATCAAAATTTTGCATGGCCCAGTTAGTTGTGTTGAAACTTCTATATATATAGATGTACTAAGATAACAGATTCCTGCTTGGCCCTAAGATTTGTCAGTCCTCAAGAATTCTGCTTGCCTCCAATGTTGGCAGGGACAGAGTCTCACTCTCCCAGGTAAGCTGTCTGCCCGTACGGCCGTAGCCTTACCTTTTTCAGTTTTTGCTATCACTCGCTTGCAGTAAAACATGTCCAGAGGGATGAGGGCCTTCTGAAGGTTCTAGATGAAGACGAGAGTTACTTTGACTTCTGCATGTGCAACCCGCCTTTCTATGCTAACGACATGGAGGCTCAGGGACTCCTGCCTGACCGTGGTCCAGAACGCCCCCTGCCATCATCCATCAGTACTGCAAGTGAGGCGGAGCGAGTGGCGAGTGGGGGCGAGGTGGGGCATGTGGGCAGGATCATCGAGGAGAGCCTGCAGCTACAGAAGAAGATAGGGTATTTATTTATTCATAGGTTTGGCTTTTCAGCATGCACAGCCAGGGCAGCCCAACTATCCTGTGAAGGTTGCAAAGGGCTTGCCCTGCTGAAAAAGACAAGACATTATAGATAGCATAACAGTCTATTCTAACACAATAGCATTGTATAAAAATAACTACAATAGCATCTATGATAGAATGTTAATGGAGAGGTCAGGGTCAGTGTCTGCAAATGTCGTGTAAGGATGTTTGTAGGCATTCTTGCTCTACATGTAAATCTTCTGATTCATACTCATTGAAATACTGTGTCACAGTGCTATTTGCAAACCATGCGCATGGGACTTGACTACACTCAACTACATAGTTGTGGATTGTATCTTTTTCTTCAAATAGGTTTTACACCTCCATGTTGGGCAAGAAATCCAGCTTAAAACCTTTGAAGGAGATGCTGAAGAAAAATGGGGTAAGTCTTACACGTACAGGACATGTTGTAACTGAATGTACTTAGGAGTGTTTGAACTTCCGTGTACTTCAAATTGGTTTGCTATTTACTAACCTATTATTAAATTAAAGTTCATTAATGTAGATGTAACACTTCTGTGTTCTTCAAAGCAAATACACATGTAAGCGATTTTTAGAAAATATAACAGTAAGCTTGACTAATTTTGCCAAAAACTATTCCAGATTGAGAACTTTGCCTGCACAGAGTTCTGCCAGGGTCGCACCATGAGATGGGGAATCGTCTGGACGTTCTACCAGAACTGCACTCTGCCAGTGGGTTTCTTCATATCATTGCAGGGCTTGAAATACTTCTTTTCTGCATACCTGCACTGGTGCATGCAATACTGAAAGTTATCATGCACCAGACAAATTTTACCTGCACCACTCAGAATTCAGAAAGTATGGATCACACAAAACTGGTCATAAAGCATTGCCATTATTTCTTTTAAACTTCATCCAAACGTGGTAGCAGTCAATAGACAAAAATGAACATACACCTGCAGTGCAAGGGTCACGTAAAGGGCGGCCAGTGAGTGTTCACTAGGAATTTCTTTGGAAATAGCAGACAGAAATTGTAAGAAGGAATTTTCGGCTCAAAGAGTTAACATTGTTGTCTGTTGTTGTATGTTTAATGTCTCTAGACATCTCCACTACAGAAGAAGAAGAGCAAGCCTCCCATCAAGACTGTTGTGCCAGAGAAGTACCTACAGCACCTCATGAAGGATGCAGCTCAGACTGGGGGCATGCAGAACACAAGGGTGCAGCTGGTTAGCAGCGCCATCAAGCAAATGCTGGGAGAACTGCAGGTAGTCAGCTCCCACATGCACAGAGTTTGGTATCATTGATTAAAGGGTGTTGAAAGAAGGCTGAGCAAAATACAGTGCCTCCAAACCTATGTCAATGTACAGCCTATAGCTAGGAAAACAGTAATAAATGGTACAAAATAAAGGCCATGTCCTGTCATTTCACTGGCGAATTTCTTTGAAAAAAAAAATTCATGATTCAAATGTATTATTGCCATTGGAATAAAACTCGTAGTGATCTTAATAGCAAAGTTCTTTATTCACAACCAATTGACTTGTTAAGCAAGACCCAACATTTCAATGACCATCTGTCATTTTTCTTTAGGACATTGAAATGTTGGCTCTTGTTAAACAAGTGGTTGTGAATAAAGAACTTGGATATTAACCATTCACCAACCTGCTGAAATTATTAATTGAGCTCATACATGTATACTCATCTGTTTTGGTAAATCATAAGATCTGTACAAAGAAAGAAAGAAATAACACAGACTGACCAAGGTTGAAAGTTAATGTTTTGCTGCTGTTTTTTTTTTCCGTTTCCTTGTCAGGTGCCCTTCCAGGAGTGTGCTCCTGCCAGTCCAGACCTCGGCATCTCCCTAACACTGACTCCTACTGAGAACACCTGGATTCACAACAGGAAGAGACGCAGGCAGAAGTCCAGGGAGGGAAAGGAGGGACAGAAGCCTGCAGAACAGCCTCTAATGTTACAGTTTGACACAGTGGAACAGAAAGAACCAATGGCGGAACATCCCACTCCAAATATGGATGAAGAGAAGATGGAACATGATGGCAGCCATGTTGGGGAGGGGGGCATGTCAGTGAAGGGTGAAGATGGGGACAGTAAGAAAATGGACACATCAGATGGGGCTGCAAATGGAGGCACCAGCCCAGGTAAACGGGGTGCCTCAGAAGTGTTGGGGTCTGAAGAATTGCTGTTCAAAGCTTGCCTGTCAATCAGCATGATAGACACGGGTATCATCATGGAGATGGCATGGTTAGAGGGTAAGGACAAGGACGGTATGAACCAGCTGGTGTGTTACTTAAAGAGCCAGTTCAACAAAGTCTGAAGTGTAAGAAGTTACTGATCCATTGGATGGTTGTACTCTGTACTAAAATATGGTATCCTTATATGATACTGTCTCATCAACTACAAAGTAGTTGTTATTTTTCCTTCACCAAAGGAGGACAGGAATTATATTTTTGTAATGTTATATTGAATTCCTTCTTATTTGAATTCCTTTTTTTTCACAGACATGTACATTGGTGCATTTAGCAGTGCTGTCTCTTTTTTTACTAGAGCTTTCTTCCAATTTTTATATTGTTTGATATGGTTAGTTAAAACTAGATGAAAAACTATGGATAGAATCTTGAGTAGAGAGGACTACATTGTCCAAAAAATCTGCAATGTTTACAACTTAGGAGACAGTCTAAGACTGGTCACAGCTCATCCCTATGGAGATGCATGAAAACAAGGCCTGCATTGACTATTACAGTATTAGAAGTTATCTTTTTTTTAGTTTTATTTTATTTTAAGTTCTTCCTTCATTGGTGCAATAGCCTATGGATGTAGCTATGTTTCATTAATACATTTTTTTTTAATCACAGGTATTAACATGTTCATGTAGCAAGGTTTGCATACAAATGACAATTTAAACCTGAATTATTTCCATTATTTTATATACAAAATGTCAATCAAGTGAAAGATAAGACGTTTGAAGAAGGTGGTTGCAGATGACTAATGCAGGAGTCAGTTTTGCTTTATTCGGTTGTTAAGTTTATACTATAAAATTATGTTGCTTTGCAAATGAAATCCACCAAAGAAAATGGTAATGGAGCTATTGTAGATTATTTTCTGAAAGTAACTGTATGCAAAGAATAAGTGATATATTCAAGTATGTTTGTTTTGTATCATACATTTCTACCATTCAAGATGGCCAAAAAGTATATTGATGTTATTATTTATAATGTCAATAAATGCCTGAACTTAATAGACATGGTCACTGTGTCTTTGAAACATCTTTATTGTGTATAGTATTCAGGTGCAAAATTAGACAGTTGAACCCCAGCCTGAACTTAATCCTCTCTGCTGATGGTAAGTTTCTTCTGATAAATGTAAAGCAGAGCCACCAAGACACAAGATCACCAAGACACAACTTCGTATTTATGTTGTTACGACACTGCCACATTGCCCATGTTAAGTTTCAGCTCCCTATGTGTAAAAAAAAAATATGTGTACATGTGAATGAGGCCTGTTGGCCCAAGCAACTTGTGACAGAGAAACATATGCACATGAACAAGCACAGACAAGAGTTGCCAGGCTGATCTGTAAGGATATAAATCGACATAACCTTTTATGCCATGTATAGACTGTCTGCTCTGCATGTGATGAGATATAAACTGCTGCCCCATTTCTGTAGGTTACTTTACAAATTGAGTTTAAACATCCTCCTCTTCTAGTTGTGTGGCCCATGGTGTACCTGTACCGTGAGGGCGTGACAGCTACTGAATAATACAGGTGTATTTTCTACAGCATATTTTTCATCACTTTCATCGTGAAGCCGTGATTTTTAATTAAAGTTCTCTCAGAGATTCCCTTTGAAGACTTTTATTGGTTGTTTTTTCGTGTGTAAAATTTAGACAATTAAGGCGGTGTGGCATTATCAACCACTCACATGGGTGATGTCATTGCGACAATTAAACTTGTTTTTGCTGCAGATCGTTTCCTTTTCGTGGAAGAAGACAAAGGCGACGCTAAACATGATGGTCCCAAGTCTGTAGCCTGAGGGACTCAAAATGACGAGGTCAATGACACCCGTGTGCTGGCTTAATAGGCGCTATCAACACATACAATACCCCAAATCATTACAGCATATCCACGCTACTTCACCAAAACAAATTATTATTTTTTTATCATTCTACCTGTTCCTGTATTGATATGGGCGTTAATTATTTGACAGTGACGCTTTACTGATTGAAATGGCAATCTAAACTCTTAACGATATCGACACGATTGTTATATTTTCGCCTCGTCGATTAAATCGTTTCCTCTAGCCTCCAGTGCAGGCATCTAGGTGTATAAAAATTGCAATATTTTTTTCGTTTATCTATGGTGTTCTATACTCCTAACATTTTCCTAAACTTAAGTATAACGCGATAACATATAAAGGAACATTCAGAACTCAGTGTCCATGAGCTAAGATAACAAAAACTCTAAATCTAGAACTAGGACCATGGGCCGCCATGGAGCCTACGTTCCTTGTGAGGACGGGCTATTCTCTGGTCTATGCTAATCAGAGATTTTGCCAGACACCTGCCTCAAAATGTGCTGGCTTTGATCCAGCTTTCATGCCTATTCATCAATGCCTGTATCGTCAACAGATGAAAGCAGCGACGTTGATGATGATGATCCATATGCCTCTGTCCTCGCTACTTCACCAAGACGAATTATTATTTTTTATTATCCTACGTGCTTCTGTATTGATATAGGGGTTTGACAGTGATGCTTTAATGAATGAAATGGCAATTTAAACTCTTACGATATCAACACGATTGTCATATTTTCGCTTCGTCGATCAAATCGTTTCCTCTAGCCTCTAGTTCAGGCTCACTAGGTGTATAAAATCAGCAGTATTTTTTCGTCCATACATGGTGTTCTTTACTCCTCACATTTTCCTCAACTTTACTACAACGCGATTACATATGAAGGAACAATCAGAAATCAGTGTCTATGAGCTAAGATAACAAAAACTCTAAATCTAGAACCAAGAACAGGGACGGCCATGGAATCTACGTTCCTTGTGAGGACGGGCTGTTCTCTGGTCTATGCTAATCAGAGATTTTGCCAGACACCTGCCTCAAAATGTGCTGGCTCTGATCCAGCTTTCATGCCTATTCAGTAATGCCTGCATCGTCGGCATTTGAAATAAAGCGACGATGATTATGATAATCAATGATTTTAAGTATCATCGAGGGCATAAGGCGTAATCTCAGGAGGCTGTGTGGATCCTCTTGCTCCATTCCTCTAGATCTCTTACATCCATTAGTGTCCGAAGCTGATAGCTATGATGTTATTCTTCATCTAGACGATAAGCGTACGTACGTACTAAATAGACATTCGTATCGATAAAGCTGATCGTGGCTGTGTAGAATGTTACGAGAAAAGCGTGTGTTTGAAAGGAAATCAGGTGTACTGTCTTCTCTACTCTCCAAGCAGAGGTTGATGGGGGAAGATCGTTTGCGTTTTTATATATGGCCCGTTTTTTTGTCTCTACGTTGGTTGGGGTAGCGACGAAATAAACGGGCCAAATATAAAACGCAAACGATCTTACCCCATCAACCTCTGCTTGGAGAGTAGTGTTCTCACCAGATTTTGCCATTTCCTCGTGGCTTAGTGATGAGATCATACTTGGCACAGCAGACTGGGTGTGCCACTACTTTGGATCGCTCCGCCCTCTGAAGATGGATATTAATAGCGTAACTCCGCCCCTCATGGACAAATCGCCGTGTAGAATATCTGATTATGCTTTGTTTAACACTGTTTAATATTAATGAGTACTCAGAACCATACCCAAAAGGTGTATATATACCACCCCTCAAGCCCCGCTGCCCCATTCTGAGTGGGAACTTCGATTCACTTCGTTGCTTTAGAAGTTGCTTGTTTCTTCTTGAACGACGTGACAGGCAGGCGACAGGTACGAGTACAAACTACCTTTTGTATGATTGATAGCTTAAACATTTTATTCCGCTATTCAAAACAAAGCTATATATATCCGCTGATAAAAAGCTATCATTTTCAGGATTTTTCCGCAATGGCTCCCCGCAAAGAAGACAAAGTGAACCAAGAAGACGTCTCCTACAAGGTATGTCAGTACGAGCGATTAGAAATGTATGATTTTAAAACCGGTACCCAAACGGGATAGGCATGTGTCGTCTTGAAATAGATTTTGTGTATGTAAGACCTGACCTAAGATAAGTTCTGTTGAGAAAAGTCTATCTAAACCCACAAGAACTTGACGTGAAATTCGAGCGATCCTTGTTAAGAAGTGTGTAAAGCGGGGAAAATTACGACTAGTTACCACATGCAAATTGCAAACAATTTCATTGAACATTTGACGCTTGAAATTCGTAACAGACAGGCAAAAGAATTGCAAACAGACACAGGAACCCACTCTTGTTCTATTTCCTCCCTGAAAAAGACCGAGCAGTCCGCCAAGCCAGGCCGGCTGTGTCGTCTGCGGCTGCCGCTCCTTGCAGGCGTGTTGGTGGGGCTCCTGACTGCAGGGCTCGCCCGTGGACAGTCTGTGGTTCGTAGCGCCTTCTGCTGGCCTGGTGCCCAGTCTATCGTAGTTTCAGCGCGTTTTCTTCGGGCCTGTAGACGATCCTTAGGCTTCCCGGTGGAGTTTCATGCCAGCTAGTAGGATTTTTGCACGACAGGATTAGCTAACTGAACTCCCGTTGTGCAAAACCTACCCCCGAGCCTAGTTGAACTAGTACGGGCGGCCGGAATTGACTACAGGCCCGACGAGAGTCCGCCCAACGCACGATATACATGTAGACTGGACACCAGACCACGTTCTACCGGATCGGCAAGTTTTCAGCTGTTAGATTGTTGTTGTTGTTGTTAGGTTTTGTATTTGGTTCATATGCATGTATTTTGTATGTATTCCTTTAGAAGTGGGAATTTCTGATAAATGTTGTTTTTCTGATATTATGTTTTGCTGTAGGGTGAGTTCAGGGACACTGACCAGGTAAGGTCGAAGTTTTGTACGTAGGTGTGCCATGAAGTATTTCCTCATGATTATTTATGGGTTCGATTCCTTTGTATTTGAATCATTTTCAAAACTTAAGTCTAAAGATATGATTTTTAAATTTATTGTGAAATAAAGGCCACGTGGACTACCAGTGTCTGTATCATGTGCTATCCAGGGTCTTGTGGCAGTGAGGGCCCCCGGCAGCAAAACGTGCTACATAGTCGATGCTGGCTACACAGACCGTGACAACGAGGTAAATATAATTTTTATACAAAACGATTTGATTTATTGCTGTTTGTCATTACTTTATTAAAGATGTTGACAACATTTACAAGCCATGCCTTCAAGTAGTTCAAGGCTATTAGAATGATTTTAGTTTCCTCTCGATCAAGGCATGATGCGCATCGGTTGTTAGGCAATTCTTTTGTAATACAGTATGGATTTTGTATTACAGTATGGATTCAACATATAGAGGTTAAGTCAAGAAGGTTAAGCCTTCCTGCTTAAGTTAAGCATTTATCATTTTATAGTTGACATTACTTCCGCTATATTTTACATGCAAGGCTGGGCATCGGTCATGAAAAAACATTTCTCGCTTACTGTGGTCTCACCCTGTCTCCACTACCCGCTGTTTTGCAGGAGGAGGCAGACGACAGTGGGAAGTACGCGATTTCCCTGGACGAGAGCCGCACCGACCAGCCCAAACTGAGCGGGGATCCGGAGTTGAAGAAGTTCTGCGACGGCCTGACCCCGCAGTGGGCCACCGCTGAACCGGCGGCCGGAGCCACCCATGCCGACGTCATCGTGTACACCGGTACGTCACCGGGTCGTCTTTATCTCCAAGCAGATTGGGGAGGGGAGCTCGTGACGTTTTAGGACTCAGAAATAAAGGGGGAAAATCCTGAAAAAATGTTACGATCTTTTCTCCCAATATCCACATGGCATTTATATCGATCGATCCTTATGCTTATGGTCTACTGGGCAATCACTACGAGAATAATTGTTTAGTGATTTGCGGCTTTAGGATAAGGTATCTACATTGTAGCATCCTTATATTCTGCTTGGATATGTGTGAATATATTTTCTATGTCACCGAATTTGAATTGTCAGAAAATGTTGATTCTCCTGATGACACTTTTAAATGCAGAGTCTCAAATCCTGACACCAAAGCAAGTCAAATTCGTCCAGAGTAACATAGTTACTCGTTTCTGTCAAGGCACACGAGTGATACAAAGCGTTGATAAATTAATGATATATTTCCACTGCCTCTATCTAGGTACCCCCGACGAAGAACAGGAGAAACCTGGGAGAGGCCAAACTAAGTTTTTCGGCCGTCGTAGGTCATCGTGGTGGCGTCGCCGTACTGTCTACCTACGCCGTCGCTCGGTGTGGCGTCGCCGCACCATCTTCCGACGTCGTAGCTGGCTCGGAAAATAGGCCTCGAACATTCCGGTCGTAGCGCGTCGACGAAGCTTGATCACACGAGCATTGCATGAAAGTATGACCAACTCATACAAGTAGTGTAGGTTTAGAGATGTTGTGAACTGCTGAATAGCTCAACACAGCAGTTTGTGGGCTTATTTAGTCTAGTATGCTGTTTCCGACAGGCGGGTGAGCCCATAGCTGAGACTAGAAAAACTGGCAATCCAATCTGCACTGCGTCTATATTGGAGTTAATATCTGGTCCCTTTCCATCGATATGTCATGTAAGTCTCCTGCATAATGGTGTTTAGGGCTATGTATATGTGCCAGGCTAGCACGGTTGATATAAAAGTATTATGATGTTATACACGTTGAGCGACCTAGTTTAGTATAGCAAGATTAAGGATTTTACTGTGTATCTAATAAGTAGGTCTGAATATCATATTCGGAATGATGGCCTGTTATGTAAACCTTTTGGAACAGAAATTCTTTCCCACATCCGACATTCCGACATCCGACATGAGTAAATTCACACCATATGCATGGTGATTTAATTTGTACAATGGAACTATACACATGTATTTACAACTCGTTCCTATTAAATACTCCCTGTGCCTCTGCAATTCACTGGTCGTGTAATTATTGCCATACTGTGATCATGAATAAGTACTGATTTCACATTTTCCCCTCGTAATCACTGACAGCGAACAAAAGGCACACGATAAAAAAACGCTCCGATGAAGAAAGAAAGACACAGAAAAATGACCACAATAGTGACAAAGAAAGTCTGTTGCTAAAGATTACATGCCTAGAAATCATCGAAACGTACTGAAAAATAAACACAGTAGTGGGG